TTTTTTTTTGGAACTATGGTGATAGGAGATGCCATGCTAGACTTATTTTTCGAAAACTCCGTTAAATGACATGAAAACGCGAAAACGATCATGCCAGAATTTGTTGCTACCTTGTTGGTAATTTGTTCGCTGTTTAGCATTTTTTTTGCTCTTTATATTTTTTTGGAAACTATGATGATAGATGATGCCATGCTACACTAATTTTTCGAAAACTCCGTTAAATTACATAAAAACGCAAAAACGATCATGCCAGAATTTGTTGCTTCCTTGTTGTTAATTTGTTCCCCTTTCAGAATTTTTGTTGCTCTTCATTTTTTTTTTCTGAAACTATGGTGATAGAAGATGCCATGCTAGACTAATTTTTCGAAAACTCCGTTAATTGACATAAAAACGCAAAAACGATTATGCCAGAATTTGTTGCTTCCTTGTTGTTAATTTGTTCCCTTTTCAGAATTTTTGTTGCTCTTTAATTTTTTTTTGGAAACTATGGTGATAGAAGATGCCATGCTAGACTAATTTTTCGAAAACTCCGTTAAATGACATAAAAACGCAAGAACGAACATGTCAGAATTTGTTGCTTCTTTGTTGTTAATTTGTTCCCCATCTAGAATTTTTGTTGCTCTTCATTTTTTTTCTGAAATTATGGTGATAGGAATGCCATGCTAGACTTATTTTTAGAAAACTCCGTTGAATGACATAAAAACGCAAAACCGATCATGCCAGAATTTGTTGCTTCCTTGTTGTTAATTTGTTCCCTTTTTAGAATTTTTGTTGCTCTTTATTTTTTTTGGAAACTATGGTGATAGAAGATGCCATGCTAGACTAATTTTTCGAAAACTCCGTTAATTGACATAAAAACGCAGAAACGATTATGCCAGAATTTGTTGCTTTCTTGTTGTTGATATGTTCCTCTCTTAAAATTTTTGTTACTTTTTTTTTTTCGGAAATGATCATTATAGAAGATGTCATGCTAGACTAATTTTTCGAAAACTCCGTTAATTGACATAAGAACGCAAAAACGAGCAAGCCAGAATTTGTTGCTTCCTCGTTGTTAATTTGTTCCCCTTTCAGAATTTTTGTTGCTCTTCATTTTTTTTTTTCTGAAACTATGGTGATAGAAGATGCCTTGCTAGACTAATTTTTCGAAAACTCCGTTAAATAACATAAAAACGCAAAAACGATCATGCCAGAATTTGTTGCTTCCTTGTTGTTAATTTGTTCCCTTTTCAGAATTTTTGTTGCTCTTTATTTTTTTTTTGGAAACTATGGTGATAGAAGATGCCATGCTAGACTAATTTTTCGAAAACTCCGTTAAATGACATAAAAACGCAAAAACGAACATGTCAGAATTTGTTGCTTCTTTGTTGTTAATTTGTTCCCCATCTAGAATTTTTGTTGCTCTTCATTTTTTTTCTGAAATTATGGTGATAGGAATGCCATGCTAGACTTATTTTTAGAAAACTCCGTTAAATGACATAAAAACGCAAAACCGATCATGCCAGAATTTGTTGCTTCCTTGTTGTTAATTTGTTCCCTTTTCAGAATTTTTGTTGCTCTTTATTTTTTTTTGTGGAAACTATGGTGATAGAAGATGCCATGCTAGACTAATTTTTCTAAAACTCCGTTAATTGACATAAAAACGCAAAAACGATTATACCAGAATTTGTTGCTTTCTTGTTGTTAATTTGTTCCTCTTTTAAAATTTTTGTTACTTTTTTTTTCGGAAATGATCATTATAGAAGATGTCATGCTAGACTAATTTTTCGAAAACTCCGTCAAATGACATAAAAACGCAAAAACGATCATGCCAGAATTTGTTGCTTCCTTGTTGTTAATTTGTTCCCTTTTCAGAATTTTTGTTGCTCTTTATTTTTTTTTGTGGAAACTATGGTGATAGAAGATGCCATGCTAGACTAATTTTTCTAAAACTCCGTTAATTGACATAAAAACGCAAAAACGATTATACCAGAATTTGTTGCTTTCTTGTTGTTAATTTGTTCCTCTTTTAAAATTTTTGTTACTTTTTTTTTCGGAAATGATCATTATAGAAGATGTCATGCTAGACTAATTTTTCGAAAACTCCGTCAAATGACATAAAAACGCAAAAACGATCATGCCAGAATTTGTTGCTTCCTTGTTGTTAATTTGTTCCCCTTTCAGAATTGTTGTTGCTCTTAATTTTTTTTTGGAAACTATGGTGATAGAAGATGCCATGCTAGACTAATTTTTCGAAAACTCCGTTAAATGACATAAAAACACAAAAACGATCATGCCAGAAAATGTTGCTTTCTTGTTGTTAATTTGTTCCCTTATCAGAATTTGTATTGCTCTTTATTTTTTTTTTCTAAAACTATGGTGATAGAAGATGCCATGCTAGACAAATTTTTCGAAAGTTCCGTTAAATGACATAAAAACGCAAAAACGATCATGTCAGAATTTGTTGCTTCCTTGTTGTTAATTTGTTCCCTTTTTAGAATTTTTGTTGCTCTTCATTTTTTCTTTGGAAACTATGGTGATGAAGATGCCATGCTACACTGATTTTTCGAAAACTCCGTTAAATGCCATAAAAATGCAAGAACGATCATGTCAGAACATATCAGAATTTGTTGCTTCCTTGTTGTTAATTTGTTCCCTTTTTAGAATTTTTGTTGCTCTTCATTTTTTCTTTGGAAACTATGGTGATGAAGATGCCATGCTACACTGATTTTTCGAAAACTCCGTTAAATGCCATAAAAATGCAAGAACGATCATGTCAGAACGTGTCAGAATTTGTTGCTTCCTTGTTGTTAATTTGTTCCCTTTTTAGAATTTTTGTTGCTCTTCATTTTTTCTTTGGAAACTATGGTGATGAAGATGCCATGCTACACTGATTTTTCGAAAACTCCGTTAAATGCCATAAAAATGCAAGAACGATCATGTCAGAACGTGTCAGAATTTGTTGCTTCCTTGTTGTTAATTTGTTCCCTTTTTAGAATTCTTGTTGCTCTTTATTTTTTTTTTGGAAACTATGGTGATAGAAGATGCCATGCTAGACTAATTTTTCTAAAACTCCGTTAATTGACATAAAAACGCAAAAACGATTATACCAGAATTTGTTGCTTTCTTGTTGTTAATTTGTTCCTCTTTTAAAATTTTTGTTACTTTTTTTTAGGAAATGATCATGATAGAAGATGTCATGCTAGACTAATTTTTCGAAAACTCCGTTAAATGACATAAAAACGCAAGAACGAACATGTCAGAATTTGTTGCTTCTTTGTTGTTAATTTGTTCCCCATCTAGAATTTTTGTTGCTCTTCATTTTTTTTCTGAAATTATGGTGATAGGAATGCCATGCTAGACTTATTTTTAGAAAACTCCGTTAAATGACATAAAAACGCGAAAACGATCATGCCAGAATTTGTTGCTTTCTTGTTGTTAATTTGTTCCCCCTTCAGAATTTTTATTGCTCTTTATTTTTTTTTTCTGAAACTATGGTGATAGAAGATGCCTTGCTAGACTAATTTTTCTAAAACTCCGTTAATTGACATAAAAACGCAAAAACGATTATACCAGAATTTGTTGCTTCCTTGTTGTTAATTTGTTCCTCTTTTAAAATTTTTGTTACTTTTTTTTTCGGAAATGATCATTATAGAAGATGTCATGCTAGACTAATTTTTCGAAAACTCCGTCAAATGACATAAAAACGCAAAAACGATCATGCCAGAAAATGTTGCTTTCTTGTTGTTAATTTGTTCCCTTATCAGAATTTGTATTGCTCTTTATTTTTTTTTTTCTAAAACTATGGTGATAGAAGATGCCATGCTAGACAAATTTTTCGAAAGTTCCGTTAAATGACATAAAAACGCAAAAACGATCATGTCAGAATTTGTTGCTTCCTTGTTGTTAATTTGTTCCCTTTTTAGAATTTTTATTGCTCTTCATTTTTTTTTTGGAAACTATGGTGATAGAAGATGCCATGCTACACTAATTTTTCGAAAACTCCGTTAAATGCCATAAAAATGCAAGAACGATCATGTCAGAACGTGTCAGAATTTGTTGCTTCCTTGTTGTTAATTTGTTTCACATCTAGATTTTTTATTGCTCTTTATTTTCTTTCTGAAACTATGGTGATAGAAGATGCCATCCTAGACTAATTTTTCGAAAACTCCCTTAAATGACATAAAAACGCGAAAACGATCATGTCAGAATTTGTTGCTTCCTTGTTGTTAATTTGTTCCCTTTCCAGAATTTTTGTTGCTCTTCATTTTTTTTTTTGGAAACTATGGTGATAGAAGATGCCATGCTAGACTTATTTTGGATTAATACAAACTGATGCGAATGGCACTACAAATATTGGATGACAAATATTTATAATTTTTCCATCATTATAGTAAATAAATATATCATATACTATTATTTATAAACTTATGATAATTTTATTCAAGCATCCTCCTCAATATATTGAACAACGATAATTCAATTATCATTCAAGTTGAATTCGAGTAGAACTATCAGCAATCAAACATTTGGAAGAACCCTGGTAAAATTCTACTAGCGGAACGCACGTTGTCGGGTTCCCATTGCCCCTGGTAATAAACCGAATTTTTGTCGCCGACGCTAATGAGGCGGCTTTGATTGCTTAACATCAAAGGGATTTTATAGAGTATTCCCTAAACCACTCTCCTTTGATTCAAGGCCGCTGGCCGATCATAAAAAAATCCATTTTTGCTGTTTTTGCCTATGGATTCAACCCAATTAGCATACCATTAAGATAAAGCAGCAGGCGATTGACGGTGGCGGCACTTTTGGCACGCGCTACTTATCCAACGGGGTGCGTGGGGTGATGTTACCTAAATCTCATTGGTGTAAAAACCCGCCCAGTAACCAATAAAATCGACAAATATGAAAAGGTCTCATTTATTTCCAGAAAACACAATTCAGAATCGTAGACACATGTGGATTATTCGGATGTGCAGTGTGTTCTGTGTGATTTATTGAGTATTGAGTAGAATAAAATTAAAATGAGTAGTTGTAGGAGAGGAAGACGTCCATTAATGGACAAACAACGCATTATAGACTCTTTAATGAAAAGATCAGAAGATTTGATATTACCCAATAAAAATGTAATCAGTAAGTCAAACGAAATATGGACTGAAATCTCCAAGGAGCTTGGAAATGCTATAGCGCCCAGCTCACTATATGTTATTGTAACCTGCAATCGGTTTCAAGTTAGAGATAACATGATTTCTTCGGAAAGGGCGCATGATGAATCCAATTTTGACCACATACATTCCACTGGTAATAGTTCAAATATCAGTAGCAGTAGCGAAATGGCAAATAATGTCAACAATCAGTCAATGGAATCAGATATAGATACAGGAGAGGTTAGAAAATACGTTTTACATATACCTAGGCAAGAATTCGAATCATTGATAATGGAAAAAAAATACAAGAAATATAACCGTAGCACTAAAAAAAATGTTTCAAGAATTCATAAGACTTTGATGCCTGGTTTATGGGAAGACATGATCACAGAAAAGTTGGTTCGTCAGACACCCGTAACTTGTGGGTACAACTTCGTGAACCATTATATCTCGATGGATACTAAATCAGGGATAATAAATGGTGGGTAAGAGATACCAGAACCCTTTAGATATTTATTTTTGTATCTAGTGCGCGAAATGCTACTTTGGTGACCGGTAACTGATTTTTTAACGAGGCGCATAAACTAGGCGAGGTGACCAAAATATTTCGCGCACGAGTTGCAAACAACATTTTTCTACAAACGAAAAAAATATAGTTCTGAAGTACTAACACCTATGCTCCGCTTGATATAAATAATAGTGTTGAACTGGCTTAGAAGCCCTTAATTATTGTTAAACATTCAGAAATAAATGATTTCTTGGATTTTTGCTCGATTGAGGACCATAAAGGTCAAAATAATAATAATAATAATCCCATATAGTTTAAATGCAGTACGTACTTTGCGCACTGTTTTACTTCGCGCATTGTTTCGCAGGAGGTATCATCATGGTAACGTAGGTAGGTATCTGAAAAAAGGTGTTACTTCGCATATTGATAACAATGCGCGAACCTTGTCATTTTTTGACGTTTGTAGAAAAAATAATTCATAACCCCATGAAAAATGTCGTTCTATTGGTATCTGTTTTAAACTGCTTATTGATTTTTTTCCATATTCCATAGTGAAACATGATAGATTTCAAATGAGTTTCACATTCTAAACATTTTGAATTTCAAAATTATTTCCTCAAGAAAATTAAGAAAATCATCACAATAAATAGGTAATGAATTGCTAAATTGAATATTCCTATTATGAGTAATAGGTTGTTTCATCGTGAACCAATCAGATGGTTTATTGGTGGCAACTGCCACCTGTGACTGGCATATGGCTCCAGTGTTGCCCGATTTACGCTGAATTATTAAGACATTGTCTTTTAACTAGAATTTCACAACCTCTTTAGTGTTAGAATATTTCAATAACACTCTTATTGCTCATTGTTCATCGAAGCATACTTATGACACTCGATTCTTGTGTTAGAATACGCCTGGTGAAATTCCCAGCTTTTGCAATATTGTCTTGATTATCGATCTCTCCTTCTTGTATATGCAATGAAAAACTCAATGAAAACGTCTACCTTGAGATATTATGCATTAGCTGCAAGTATCAGTAAGTAGCTTCAAAAAAAAAAGGAAAACCGAAAAGGTCCAATCGAGTTGAATGTATGTTCTAACTCACATTCTATCCAATTTTTTAAAAATGGTGAAAATCATTTCAAGTCAAACACAAGATATACTAGGAATAGTATAACGGATACAGATTCAACTTTTGACTGGAGAAGTTTTTATTCAAATATGTAGATGCAGGTAAAAATTTTGTAAGGAGAGAAGTTAAGGAAACTGAAATCAAGTCACATAGGTATGAACATACAAAACTCTTTGGAATTCACTACTAGTTTCAAAAGTCATCCCGTTGATAATCGTTTCAAAATAAACTATTTTATTCAAAACCATATATGTAATGTTGTCGTTACTAACGTCATTGAAGGTTGGGAAGTGTCACATTACATACCTCTACTTTTCGCCGTCACTTTCCGCCCTCACTTCATTTTTTAATTCAACATAAACAGTATAGTATGGATATACATACCTACAATAGTTCCGTTCCAAAGACAATATTAAAACTCCATCTTTTGGGCTATTCAAGAGAATCATATTTCGAACTTTTGGTAATTTGTCGTTAAATGTAATATTTTTGGTATGTTCAGAACGAAACATTGATTTATTAATTTTGATCAAAATATGATGGTTGCAAATAATACTATATTACAAACCGAGGTGGGAAGTGATTCATTCCTGTCATGAGATTATAGTTAGTTAACCGAGACGCAAAGCGTCGAGGTTAGCTATAATCTCGAGACAGGAATGAAACTCCCTACCGAGGTTTGTATACTATTTTATTTACAACTATCATATTTCGATCAAAATTAACAAATCAATGTTTCGTTCTGAACATACCTGAATTATTACATGAGTGAGGGCGGGAAGTAGTGAGGGACGAGAAGTGAGGGCGGGAAGTAGAGGTGTGTAATGTGACACTTCCCAACCTCCAATGAGCATTATTAAATAAAATAGTATACAAACCTCGGTAGAAAGTTTCATTCCTGTCTCGAGATCATTGCTAACCTCGACGATTTGCGTCTCGGTTAACTAACTAATCTCGCCACATCAGGAATGAATCTCTTCTCACCTCGGTGAATATAATATTTTAGTATCATTGTTTCACCTTGATTCGTCAGTACGAGGGAATTTTGATTGTGTTTTAATTCGGCTTAGCCAACTGCAACTGTGGAGGAAAGCTTCGTGCATCCATAGACAACTCAGGGCCAGAAGTTGAAGTTACGTGCAATATTTCGAAGGGCGACAGTAAATGCGGGAAACGTTGGCTACGTGGCAAGACACGACATAAGATAGCAAGAGCCATCGAAGAGAAGTCAGCTCATATATATAGAGCCCAAAGGGCTAACAAGGAAATGTGTCCGGGAGATGCGGAACCACCAAATCTATATTCATCTCCTGTACTGAGAAAAGCGAAATCGGAGTATATATCTAGCCAATATCTTGATAAAGATCCAGTGAAATCTATATTTCTCTCGAAACAAACAACAGGGGCCAACATCATCCAAAATATTGGCCTGGATCCCTTTTATGTTCATTACTGGACAAGCCATCAAACGAGTATATACAAAAAATATTGCTCAAAATTCACGAGTTGTTTGTACATTGATGCCACAGGAGGAGTAGTGAGAAAAATAAAGAAAGCGGATGGTTCAAAAACAGGAAATATCTTTCTCTATCATTCAATTATCCGGCTTCCAAGTGGACAATTTTCAGTGTGCCAGATGTTGAGTGAGGTTCACAACACGAACGCAATCAATTATTGGCTCACTGAATGGACACGTTCTGGTGCACCTATCCCGAAAGAAGTAGTGACTGATGCTTCTAGGGCTCTTTTATCAGCAACTATTCGAGCCTTCACCAACTGCAAATCAATCGGAGAATATGCAGATAGTTTATGGCATAAACCATCTGCATGTTACATCCGGATAGATGTGGCTCATTTTATCAAAATATACGCATCTTTGGTGAAGGACTTGCCTAGGCGCGTCCGAGTTTTCTATTTAGGATCCATAGGCCAACTCATCCTGTCTAAATCATTGAAGGAGGCTGAGAAGATCTTGGGATCCATCTTGCTGGTATCTCAATGTGAGACTGAGGGATACTTACCATCTGGAGAACCTTGCAAATCAGAGGCAGCAAAATATTTCTTGAAAGAAATCATTACAAGCTCAGAAGTAAGTTCAAAATTGAATATTATTTTACAGAATTCCTTTCGGAATTCGTAGTGAAATGTCAGTTGTCATGTCATGCGTATCATCGATTGTTATTGTCATCTAGCTCGTCGTGATGGTTTTAATGCGATCTCAACAGTTATACTTAGATTCATTGTAATGGAATTTGTCATTTGGAATTACTTTCTACATATTTTTATCTGATAAGTCTACTATTATTGATGTAAAATAAATTTTGCTATTCCAGGAGATTGACCAAGCTGCAGATTCTGAATTCATTTCTGAAAATTTGCCACAAGATGAAGATTTTACTGTGAATGATGGCAACAGTAATATTTGGTGTCAATGGGGAGAAGTCATCGACAAGAGGGTTCAAACTGCGAGAGCAGAAATTGGTGACAGAGAGAATGCACACTTTTTCCCAGCACTATCAAAGAAGCTAATGAATGATCTTTATTACTTCCCAATGTGGTCTTGTGTGGTTCAAAATCAGTTTGGTTATGGTCGTATACCAGCATCTAGCGCCTCTGTTGAAGGAGAATTCAACAAAATTAAAACACATTTGTTGTCGGGTGTAACTGGTTCTCTACGTGCTGACGTATTCGTCAATAGACATGTAGATTATCTCAGTGGTCGTATGAAAATAATTCAATCGAAAATGGACAACGACGATAATGCGATAGAGAAACTCAGTCGTGAACATTCATCAGTTACCGAGTCAGTAACTAACATCTACTGTACAAGTGCAACGCATGCGTCTGACGCCATTTCGGTGGACAGAGAAGAAATAGCAGTGGAAGCCTCAAATTCTTTGTGCCCTGCTTGTCAGAATGAGGACAAACCCTCTGGGGCACATAAGTGTGTAGTGTGTTTGAAACAAATTCATGCGTTGGATAGTTGTTCTATCCCCTATAAAGGCAGTGGGGAAGGTTATGGCCAAAAGAGAATTTGCCTCGAATGCAATAATGTAGGTGGGACTTCTGTTATCTTGGCCTCTAGAGAAGAGGAGAATTGGAGGGGTTTGGCTAAATCCTCCAATCCCAGAAGAGCTGCAAAATATTTGCAGAAGAATAATTACAATTTGAACGAGCAGTTGACAAGCGACGCCAACAGGAAATTGCTCGTTATCAAGAATGGTAGCAACCTTGCTTTGAGTCCAATTGTATTAGGAGGTAGGAATGTGTACGTGATATTCACGTGTACATTCGACAGCATTTATCAAATAATACTGGCAGCTCTTTGCGATAGAAAAAATCTTCAAGAATCGGTATAAATGATTTTGATAACAGCGGTTGGCCCGAACCAATGTATCTACCTCTCCCTCTGTATCTTCCCTAATATTTTGTTCAAATACTTCAAATTTGGTATATCGGTTTGATGTTACGGATGTTCAGTTTATCGAGTGTCAGATTGAATATGACACTTCCGGTTTAACCAGAAGTATACTAATTTTTTCAAATAGACAGAACATGTTTTTCAAAATATTACCGTTTAGTATAAAATTACCTCTTCAATGATGAATCACAATCATACTTTTAATTCACAAACTACCGATGACTTCCAGATTTTCTGGAATTCTAACACTCTGAATCATTGCCCTCGTCACAGAGCTATTACATGAATAGTGTGATATGAAAGATGGAACAATTAGCTTTTTGATATGATGAATCAATGTAACTGGTTGGTGTTGAAGTGTTGACAGATTTGTTCATTTTGAAAGTTCTGAACTATTATTCTAATAGGTACTCTGAACAAAATATGAAGAAAGGATCCAGGGGCAAACAATGGTTTCGGGTCACCCGGTATATTTGATTGTTTGGAATATTAATGTTTCTAAACATGTGTTGTTTTAGATAAGTGAGATAACTGTTGATAATCCACTATTAGCAATGGCATTGGATGTACTCGAAAATGGCCTACGAGCATGTTCATATAAAAAAAGAGGAGCTATGCTACACAGCATATTTGGTGGAAAAGACCAACCCGATGGATCACTACTGATTAACTGTGAGAGTAGTGTGGTGGAAATAATTAATCCAATTTTTAGAGATACTCCAAGTTTTCGAGAAACCATCCGATGTTCCAATAACTGTGAAGTTAGAATAAATACATTGGTTTGTCCGTATATCGATTTCCAGGAAATGAAAAATAATGGGTTGGAAATCCAAGATATATTAAAGTTCTCTGACAACACTATATGTGCGAATGAAAACTGTCATGGGTCTACTTCATCGCAAATATCTTTCATTGGTAAGAGATTGAATGTAAGGGTGTTCGAATCCAGAATTTAAAAAAAACGACAATATTTCATTTTTATTCGAGTTTTTATTCGAAAATGCAATTGATCTATTCGATATTAGTTATCAACGTGTTTCAATTATACACCGTGTTCCAGCTGAAATGTCCCCCTGTGAAAAATCAACCGCGCGATGGAATGACTTGAAATTTGTTCACCCAGTACATTTGATGATGCTGACTCGAAATATGCTATTGAATAAATCGTCGGTATACAGGGTCACACCGAAGCGCACCTCATCTTTCTTATTTGAATAGGGACGCCCAGTATATTATTCCATTTTCAAGTAGAGTTCATAATTACAAATGCAACAATGCCGGGTTTGATGGGATTTTTTCAAACGACTACGAAGATATGACAAAAAATAAAACGATTTTCTTTATATAACACTATTGAAATCGAATGATGGGTGTCCTGCACATAACTACAGACCCGTAAAGGATTATTTTCGCCATCGGTTTGGAGAAAATCTAATAACCACCAATTGTCTCGATGGTGATAACAACTGGCCAGCTCGGTCGCTATAGACCTCACCCCACTTGATTTTTATTCTTGAGGCTACTTGAAACAACAGGTTTATGAGTCGCCAATTGTGAATATGGAAGAAATGAAAGAGGAAATCACAAATTTATGCGCACAAATTGATCGCAACGTGATACATAGGTTCACAATGAACGTTATCAAAAGAGCTAGGAAATGTTTGCAGCAGAATGGACGACATATTGAGCAGTTGAGGATTTTATTATTTGCTTTTCATTCGACTTCAATCGTATAATATTAATAAAATCTAATCATATAAATTTTTTATTGAACCGTTTTTTTTGCCATATCTTCGTAGTCGTTTTTTAAAAAATCATGTCAAACCCGGCATTGTTGAATTTGTAATAATGTACTCTACTTGAACATAGAACAATATACTGGGTGTCCCTATTCAAATAGGAAAGTTTAGGTGCACTTCGGTGTGACCCTGAATACCTATGATTCATTCAATAGCATATTTAGAGTGACCATCATGAAATAAACTGGGTGGGTGACCAAATTTCAAGTCATTTGATCGCGCGGTTGACTTTTCACAGGAGGGGACATTTTAGCTGGGATATATGGTGTATATCTATAATTTATAGGTGAGATAGTTCTATTCGAGTTGGGCTACCAGGAATGCCAGGTTATGAAGTTAACGGATATACCAGTTTACTTCAAGAATCCCTTGAACGATAAGGAGCAGTACCAGCTGGTAGGACTTGTGAACTATACTCCACCTCCACCCAAGAGAAGGTCTTCAGAAAATCAAGGAATCGGCCATTCAACAGCCTACTGCCTTCGAGGGGGTTATCAGTGGGTGGAGTATGATGATCTGAAGAAGAATGAAAGGAATAAAAAATCCAATGTATATGTGCAACCAGTTCTCCTGGTATTTGTTAGAAATAAAATATAATTCCTGAAACCTCTCACTCTGCTTTTGTACCTTTTTTTCTAATTATCAGGGCTCGTTTTTGTTTTCGAACGAAATTGAATTGAAATTGGCATCTATGATGAACAGTCTCGAGAAAACAAACGAACAGCGACAATTCTAAACAACAACAAATTAACAACAAGAAAGCAACAAATTCTGGTATGATCGTTAAAGAGTTTTTATGTCAGTAAACGGAGTTTTCGAAAAATTAGTCTAGCAAGGCATCTTCTATCACCATAGTTTCAGAAAAAAAAAATAAAGAGCATCAAAAATTCTAAAAGGGGAACAAATTAACAACAAGAAAGCAACAAATTCTGGCATGATCGTTTTTGCGTTTTTATGTCATTTAACGGAGTTTTCGAAAAATTCGTCTAGCATGGCATCTTCTATCACCATAGTTTCCAAAAAAATATAAAGAGCAACAAAAATTCTGAAAGGGGAACAAATTAACAACAAGGAAGCAACAAATTCTGGCATGATCGTTTTTGCGTTTTTATGTCATTTAACGGAGTTTTCGAAAAATTCGTCTAGCATGGCATCTTCTATCACCATAGTTTCCAAAAAAATATAAAGAGCAACAAAAATTCTGAAAGGGGAACGAATTAACAACAAGGAAGCAACAAATTCTGGCATGATCGTTTTTGCGTTTTTATGTCATTTAACGGAGTTTTCGAAAAATTCGTCTAGCATGGCATCTTCTATCACCATAGTTTCCAAAAAAATATAAAGAGCAACAAAAATTCTGAAAGGGGAACAAATTAACAACAAGGAAGCAACAAATTCTGGCATGATCGTTTTTGCGTTTTTATGTCATTTAACGGAGTTTTCGAAAAATTAGTGTAGCATGACATCTTCTATAATGATCATTTCCGAAAAAAAAAAAGTAACAAAAATTTTAAAAGAGGAACAAATTAACAACAAGAAAGCAACAAATTCTGGCATAATCGTTTTTACCTTTTTATGTCATTTAACGGAGTTTTCGAAAAATTAGTCTAGCATGGCATCTTCTATCACCATAGTTCCCAAAAAAAATAAAGAGCAACAAAAATTCTAAAAAGGTAACGAATTAATAAAAAGGAGGCAACAAATTCTGGCATGATCGGTTTTGCGTTTTTATGTCATTTAACGGAGTTTTCGAGAAATTAGTCTAGCATGACATCTTCTATAATGATCATTTCCGAAAAAAAAAGTGACAAAAATTTTAAAAGAGGAACAAATTAACAACAAGAAAGCAACAAATTCTGGCATTATCGTTTTTACCTTTTTATGTCATTTAACGGAGTTTTCGAAAAATTAGTCTAGCATGGCATCTTCTATCACCATAGTTTCCACAAAAAAAATGAAGAGCAACAGAAATTCTGAAAAGGGAACAAATTAACAACAAGGAAGCAACAAATTCTGGCATAATCGTTTTTGCGTTTTTATGTCAATTAACGGAGTTTTCGAAAAATTAGTCTAGCATGGCATCTTCTATCACCATAGTTTGAAAAAAAATAAAGAGCAACAAAAATTATAAAAAGGGAACAAATTAACAACAAGGAAGCAACAAATGTCATTTAACGGAGTTTTCGGAAAATTAGTCTAGCATGGCATCTTCTATCACCATAGTTTCCACAAAAAAAAATAAAGAGCAACAAAAATTCTGAAAAGGGAACAAATTAACAACAAGAAAGCGACAAATTCTGGCATAATCGTTTTTGCGGTTTCACGTCAATTAACGGAATTTTCGAAAAATCAGTCTAGCATGTCATCTTCTATCACCATAGTTTCCACGAAAAAAATGAAGAGCAACAAAAATTCTGAAAAGGGAACAAATTAACAACAAGGAAGCAACAAATTCTGGCATAATCGTTTTTGCGTTTTAATGTCAATTAACGGAGTTTTCGAGAAATTAGTCTAGCATGACATCTTCTATAATGATCATTTCCGAAGAACAAGTGACAAAAATTTTAAAAGAGGAACAAATTAACAACAAGAAAGCAACATATTCTGGCATAATCGTTTTTGCGTTTTTTATGTAATTTAACGGTTTTTTCGAAAAATTAGTCTATCATGACATCGTCTATAATGATCATTTCCGAAAAAAAAGTAACAAAAATTTTAAAAGAGGAACAAATTAACAACAAGAAAGCAACAAATTCTGGCATAATCGGTTTTGCGTTTTTATGTCAATTAACGGAGTTTTCGAAAAATTAGTCTAGCATGGGATCTTCTATTACCATAGTTTCCAAAAAAAATAAAGAGCAACAAAAATTATAAAAAGGGAACAAAATAACAACAAGGAAGCAACAAATGTCATTTAACGGAGTTTTCGGAAAATTAGTCTAGCATGGCATCTTCTATCACCATAGTTTCCAAAAAAAATAAAGAGCAACAAAAATTCTGAAAAGGGAACAAATTAACAACAAGGAAGCAACAAATTCTGGCATAATCGTTTTTGCGGTTTTACGTCAATTAACGGAGTTTTCGAAAAATCAGTCTGGCATGGCATCTTCTATCACCATAGTTTCCAAAAAAAAAATTAAAGAGCAACAAAAATTCTGAAAAGGGAACAAATTAACAACAAGGAAGCAACAAATTCTGGCATAATCGGTTTTGCGTTTTTATGTCAATTAACGGAGTTTTCGAAAAATTAGTCTAGCATGACATCGTCTATAATGATCATTTCCGAAAAAAAAGTAACAAAAATTTTAAAAGAGGAACGAATTAACAACAAGAAAGCAACAAATTCTGGCATAATCGGTTTTGCGTTTTTATGTCAATTAACGGAGTTTTCGAAAAATTAGTCTAGCATGACATCTTCTATAATGATCATTTCCGAAAACAAAGTAACAAAAATTTTAAAAGAGGAACAAATTAACAACAAGAAAGCAACAAATTCTGGCATGATCGTTTTTGCGTTTTTATGTCAATTAACGGAGTTTTCGAAAAATTAGTGTAGCATGACATCTTCTATAATGATCATTTCCGAAAAAAATTGTAACAAAAATTTTAAAAGAGGAACAAATTAACAACAAGAAAGCAACAAATTCTGGCATAATCGTTTTTGCGGTTTTACGTCAATTAACGGAGTTTTCGAAAAATCAGTCTGGCATGGCATCTTCTATCACCATAGTTTCCAAAACAAAAAATTAAAGAGCAACAAAAATTCTGAAAAGGGAACAAATTAACAACAAGGAAGCAACAAATTCTGGCATAATCGTTCTTGCGGTTTCACGTCAATTAACGGAGTTTTCGAAAAATCAGTCTGGCATGGCATCTTCTATCACCATAGTTTCCAAAAAAAAATTAAAGAGCAACAAAAATTCTGAAAAGGGAACAAATTAACAACAAGGAAGCAACAAATTCTGGCATAATCGTTTTTGCGGTTTTACGTCAATTAACGGAGTTTTCGAAAAATCAGTCTGGCATGGCATCTTCTATCACCATAGTTTCCAAAAAAAAAAATTAAAGAGCAACAAAAATTCTGAAAAGGGAACAAATTAACAACAAGGAAGCAACAAATTCTGGCATAATCGTTCTTGCGTTTTCACGTCAATTAACGGAGTTTTCGAAAAATCAGTCTGGCATGGCATCTTCTATCACCATAGTTTCCAAAAAAAAATTAAAGAGCAACAAAAATTCTGAAAAGGGAACAAATTAACAACAAGGAAGCAACAAATTCTGGCATAATCGTTTTTGCGTTTTTATGTCAATTAACGGATTTTTCGAAAAATTAGTCTAGCATGACATATTCTATAATGATCATTACCGAAAAAAAAGTAACAAAAATTTTAAAAGAGGAACAAATTAACAACAAGAAAGCAACAAATTCTGGCATAATCGGTTTTGCGTTTTTATGTCAATTAACGGAGTTTTCGAAAAATTAGTCTAGCATGACATCTTCTATAATGATCATTTCCGAAAACAAAGTAACAAAAATTTTAAAAGAGGAACAAATTAACAACAAGAAAGCAACAAATTCTGGCATGATCGTTTTTGCGTTTTTATGTCAATTAACGGAGTTTTCGAAAAATTAGTGTAGCATGACATCTTCTATAATGATCATTTCCGAAAAAAATTGTAACAAAAATTTTAAAAGAGGAACAAATTAACAACAAGAAAGCAACAAATTCTGGCATGATCGTTTTTGCGTTTTTATGTCAATTAACGGAGTTTTCGAAAAATTAGTCTAGCATGACATCGTCTATAATGATCATTTCCGAAAAAAAAGTAACAAAAATTTTAAAAGAGGAACGAATTAACAACAAGAAAGCAACAAATTCTGGCATAATCGGTTTTGCGTTTTTATGTCAATTAACGGAGTTTTCGAAAAATTAGTCTAGCATGACATCTTCTATAATGATCATTTCCGAAAACAAAGTAACAAAAATTTTAAAAGAGGAACAAATTAACAACAAGAAAGCAACAAATTCTGGCATGATCGTTTTTGCGTTTTTATGTCAATTAACGGAGTTTTCGAAAAATTAGTGTAGCATGACATCTTCTATAATGATCATTTCCGAAAAAAATTGTAACAAAAATTTTAAAAGAGGAACAAATTAACAACAAGAAAGCAACAAATTCTGGCATAATCGTTTTTGCGGTTTTACGTCAATTAACGGAGTTTTCGAAAAATCAGTCTGGCATGGCATCTTCTATCACCATAGTTTCCAAAACAAAAAATTAAAGAGCAACAAAAATTCTGAAAAGGGAACAAATTAACAACAAGGAAGCAACAAATTCTGGCATAATCGTTCTTGCGGTTTCACGTCAATTAACGGAGTTTTCGAAAAATCAGTCTGGCATGGCATCTTCTATCACCATAGTTTCCAAAAAAAAATTAAAGAGCAACAAAAATTCTGAAAAGGGAACAAATTAACAACAAGGAAGCAACAAATTCTGGCATAATCGTTCTTGCGGTTTCACGTCAATTAACGGAGTTTTCGAAAAATCAGTCTGGCATGGCATCTTCTATCACCATAGTTTCCAAAACAACAAATTAAAGAGCAACAAAAATTCTGAAAAGGGAACAAATTAACAACAAGGAAGCAACAAATTCTGGCATAATCGTTTTTGCGGTTTTACGTCAATTAACGGAGTTTTCGAAAAATCAGTCTGGCATGGCATCTTCTATCACCATAGTTTCCAAAAAAAAAAATTAAAGAGCAACAAAAATTCTGAAAAGGGAACAAATTAACAACAAGGAAGCAACAAATTCTGGCATAATCGTTCTTGCGTTTTCACGTCAATTAACGGAGTTTTCGAAAAATCAGTCTGGCATGGCATCTTCTATCACCATAGTTTCCAAAAAAAAATTAAAGAGCAACAAAAATTCTGAAAAGGGAACAAATTAACAACAAGAAAGCAACAAATTCTGGCATAATCGTTTTTGCGTTTTTATGTCAATTAACGGAGTTTTCGAAAAATTAGTCTAGCATGACATATTCTATAATGATCATTACCGAAAAAAAAGTAACAAAAATTTTAAAAGAGGAACAAATTAACAACAAGAAAGCAACAAATTCTGGCATAATCGGTTTTGCGTTTTTATGTCAATTAACGGAGTTTTCGAAAAATTAGTCTAGCATGACATCTTCTATAATGATCATTTCCGAAAACAAAGTAACAAAAATTTTAAAAGAGGAACAAATTAACAACAAGAAAGCAACAAATTCTGGCATGATCGTTTTTGCGTTTTTATGTCAATTAACGGAGTTTTCGAAAAATTAGTGTAGCATGACATCTTCTATAATGATCATTTCCGAAAAAAATTGTAAAAAAAATTTTAAAAGAGGAACAAATTAACAACAAGAAAGCAACAAATTCTGGCATAATCGTTTTTGCGTTTTTATGTCAATTAACGGAGTTTTCGAAAAATCAGTCTGGCATGGCATCTTCTATCACCATAGTTCAAAAAAAAAATAAAGAGCAACAAAAATTATAAAAAGGGAACAAATTAACAACAAGGAAGCAACAAATTCTGTTATAATCGTTTTTGCGGTTTTACGTCAATTAACGGAGTTTTCGAAAAATCAGTCTGGCATGGCATCTTCTATCACCATAGTTTCCAAAAAAAAAATTAAAGAGCAACAAAAATTCTGAAAAGGGAACAAATTAACAACAAGGAAGCAACAAATTCTGGCATAATCGTTTTTGCGGTTTTACGTCAATTAACGGAGTTTTCGAAAAATCAGTCTAGCATGGCATCTTCTATCACCATAGTTTCCAAAAAAAAATTAAAGAGCAACAAAAATTCTGAAAAGGGAACAAATTAACAACAAGGAAGCAACAAATTCTGGCATAATCGTTTTTGCGTTTTTATGTCAATTAACGGAGTTTTCGAAAAATTAGTCTAGCATGGCATCTTCTATCACCA